AATCTAATAAGAAGACTCAAGAGACCAAGCCTTTTGAGTTAGTTCAGTGATGTTAAAGCATAGTATAGTGCAGTTAAGTGATTTAGACTCTAAGGTATACTAGAGAGTAGAATATCAGTTTGTGAAGTTTTTCATCCCTTGATAAGTTAGAATAAAATTTCTAATTGATCTTAATGATTAGATTGTAACAATCGTAAATGTTTCTTTACTTGGGGCATTTATTAAAAAAAACTTTGTTTCAGATTAGTACATTTAAAGGACTTTGTGGAAATGAAGTGATTTCCCTTTATATTTTATGAAATAATGTTTTAAGAATCAATATTTGAGTTTTGTGTAATTTAAATAGACATGTATATTTATAAATGTCTTTTTTTATTCTAATAGTATTTTAGAGTAAAAAAGCTAGAATACATTTCTGAAATATGACTATTTAATATCTCTAAAAGATTTAAAATTTTTATTTCATAAATATTACTGTGAAATATTATTATTAGACTAGCAATTAGACTAGCAACAAAACCATAACCGTTTGTCTAGTATTAAAAATAAATATCACTCCTAGATATGGATAAGAAAATATTAAAACTTTATTCCTTGTACACTTTTATTTAATCACAGCACACATTATTTTCATTTACAATATTTGCTTGACGTTCATATGCCCCAGTCTATTTTGTTCACCTTTTCTAGTGGCTTTTTCTGCTAAACTTTAGTCCCCATTCTACCTCCACCTAAGTAATGAATTATTCAACCATTTAGTCAACAACGGGGTTTTACTTGTTTTACAGTAAGATACTTATCTTTAATGTTTAAGTTTTAGAATTTGAACTTGGATTAGGCCATTTTCGTCAATTTTGTTCTTAGAGCTTTTGTAAAAACACTTGGGAAGTACTCTCACAAATTTATTTCTGGTTTTTATCTTAGTGGTCAAGAAAAGTGCTTATAGTGGATACTTTTCCTAACTCGATAAACATTTATTACCTAGATGTTGGCCTCCTTTATCACCAGCCTACAATTTCAACTCTTTTGCTGTTAACTTTAACTTCATCTGTGACTTTACTACGGTATGCCTTTATATAAGTAGCCATAATCTCTGCAGATGGTGAGAAGCCCAACTCAAACCAACTACCATAATATCGTCATTGGATCTATAGGTCTCAAGTAAGATCACTTCATATTTTACAATTGTTAGAAGTGCATCTGCACACCGCTGCTTGTGGCTTCGCTGATTTACGATGTCTTGCATGAAGATATACACCTTTCAGTCTGAATCTACAAAAGTACCAAGACCAAGTAAGATTAATCCACATTTTGATTTCCTGAATAGTGCATCTACCTACACAGAGATTGCTTATTAGCCATTTTCTGCGAGCCTTGCATTAAGTTTCGTATCTGATTATCGAGCTTTTAGTGTATGAACATTTGTTCTTAATTTCGAGAAAGCTGTTAATTAAAGTAAGGTTAGATTACTTGACATTTGCGACCTTGTACTTTCCGATTTAAAGACAGAAAGCATTGGGCTCATAGAAAAACTAAAGATTGAGCTATTTATGTGCCCTAGTGCAAACGTGTGACGACTGATCCAATAAATCGAACTCTGCTTACTTTTGTCGCCTATGTGAACCAAAAATGTATTATTTATTTTTTCTGCGAATGATTTCAACGCTTTAGGGTTAATTTTACAATTGTGTTAAAGTTTAAACTATTAATTGAAGATTAAAATTACATTTTATGTAAAAATGTCATTTTAAACCCAAAATGGTGTTATATCATGGTCATTGATTAGTTGCAATTTTGCAAATAATATATTCTTCAGCGCTTAATAGCGTGATAATTAAATCAGTTATATTTTATTTCTTTCATTTACTTTATTCAGCACCTCTCGGCTGAAAACCGGGCACATTTAAGCTTTTAAATCGCCTTCTTTTATAACCTCAGCCTTCCACCACCTTTTAAGTCAATGTCAATAAAAAGGAAAATCATTTTTTTATAATCCAAATAATGATACTTAACCAGAAATAGTAAAATAAAAACTTGTAAATCCGGTTCTGCTCTTCCGCCATTTTAGTGAGTGCAAAAGCCACGCCTACCAGTCCCACTTTTGTATATCAAAAATAATACATATGACGTATCCTTACGTTGCCTTATCAATGCTTTTCAGTTACCAGAGCAGATAAGTTATTAAATTTAATAAAATTAAAACACTTAAATACGGAAGAGAAAAACTCATTGGAAAAAATTGTAGTGAAATATTCCGATGTTTCATCTAGAAAATGGTCCGTTAACTGTTTCTAATATTTGTAAAGAAAAAATTCAACTAATAGATTCAGCAAAGCCAATTTTTAGAAAACCTTATCGTTTACCTCATGCTCAACAAATACAAATTCACTCAGAAATTGATAAAAGTATTATTGAAGAAACTAAATCAGAATGGCAATCTCCTTTATTCATTATTCCAAGAAAGGATTCAAATGAAAGAGGCGAAAGCCGAGTAACAATAGTTATAGATTATAGGCAGTTGAATATGCAAATAGAAAATGATAAATTTCCATTACCTTGTATTACAGAAATTTTGGTACTTTCTTAACTCGTGCCTTAGCAACTCGGGCGTAATATAAAACTACCTGAATTCGTCGCAACTCGGGCGCCCTCCAAAATTGTGCACCTGTGAGTTCGCAACTCGGGCGTCGACGGGATATGAAATTTGACCATAGTTTATGTACCCTGATTCTGATAATAATCTGATTCAGGTAGTAATGAATTATCGAAAATTTAAGAGAAATGAATGACATCGCAGAACAAGCTTTGATTTTAACAGACAGCGAACAATGAAAAGTTAGTTGATGTAAAAAAATTGAAGATTTTTCCATTACGATTTATTTTAGAGAAATCATGTGCAGAACAAATTATTCGCGATTTCTAAAATATTTCCGGAAATAATTTGGTCACTAGTGGTATTATAAGTGAAAATAATGAGAAAAATTCGAATTTTGCACTTTACCTCAAATTTCCCGAATTTGGTCTATTTTAGAGAATTGTATGGAACAAAAATTATAGAGAATTACATTGTAAGCAACTTTTATTTGAAGAATTTTCTTTAAAATTCCATTTTAGGAAAATTTGACATACAACAAAAATTATAGATAATAATATTGTAAGTAACTTTTATTTAAAGAATTTTCTTCACCAAACGTAAATAACGAATATATTCCATAAAATATAAAAATGACCACCAATAAAGTACCCCCCAAATGTTCCGACTCTGTCCAAAATCTAGTCAGTTCACCTCAGGTCGAAATAAAACTTAAGTTTAAAATTTAATGTTTTTTCCTTTATCCGTTTTTGAGTTTTCTTCAAAATTCGAAATTTACACATTTTCTCAAATATCTCGAATACGGTCCATTTTAGAGAAATTATTTATAGGATAAAAATTATAGAGAATTATATTACAAACAACTTTTATTTGAACAATTTTTATAAAAAATTATTTTTTTTACATTTTGTCAAATTTCTCGAATACGGACCATTTTAGGAAAATTTTGCATAAAACAAAAATTATAGATAATTATATAAGAAGTAACTTTTATTTGAAGAATTTTCTTCTCCAAACGTAAATAACAGATATATTCCATAAAATATAAAAATGACCACCTATAAAGTACCCCCCCAGATGTTCCGACTCTGCCCAAAATCTAATCAGCTCATTGGACGCTGAAACAAAGCTTAAGTTTAAAATTTGGTGTTTTTCTGTGTATCGGTTCATGAGTTATGCGACCTACAGACACACACACACACACAGACACACACACACACACACACACACACACACACACACAGACATCATCGCGAAAATAGTCAAAAAAAATTTTAAGTTTAAGCCGAAAGCACCTTCTCAGGTTAAACTAAAGAGGTGACATTCATTATATTACTATAATATTGGTACTGATCCTTGAACGCCCGAGTTGCGAAGGGTATTTAATCTACCTGTAGCCTTACGCCCGAAATGCGAAAAATTAAGTATTCCGCTCGAGTTTCGACGCCCGAGATGCGCATAAATCGAAATTTTAGATGCATTATTAAGTGCAATGTATTTTTCTCATCTTAATTTATCTCAAGATAGAACTCGAGAAATTAAGTAGAAAATACACAGCTTTTTATACAGATCGAGGTCAGTTTCAAATGACTCGACTTCCTATGGGTTTGAAAACAAGCCATAGTGCAATTTCTCGAAAAATGACGCTTGCAATGTCAGGGCTTAACTATGTTGTTTTGTCTCTCTTGATGATTTAATTGTTTTTGCAAATAATCTAATAAATCATCATAAAAACTTAGTTAAAGTTTTCCAAAGATTAAGGCAAGTAAATTTAAAGTTAAATCCAAATAAATGAGACTTTTTAAAGACAGAAATTCTTTATTTAGGTCACATAATTTCTGCAGAAGGCGTTTCACCTGATTCTTCTAAAATAGAAGCTATTTCCAGTATGTATATGTATACTACGCATTAAATTTCGAATAAAATTAGCTTTCAAATAGAGTGCAACACTTTACAATAGGTAACAGTTTTGTATCGCGCTATGCAATGAATAGTAATATTGCCGAATTCTATTAAAACCAGTCATGAAGTTTGAAACGACTAAATTGGTAATGAAATTGATATTTTTGTATTTGATTGTATATTACTATTTCCACTTCCTAAAAAAAGATTCCTAATGAAACAAGGAATAGTAAACAATACACAACAAAATTTTTTATGCAATTTGAAATATGTACCGCAATGACCAAGCCCGGTTCTGTTTATTTTCAAATAAACAAATTTGGCCGTCGATAGAATTTTTAAAAATTAAATGATTTACCGAAATAAATGTAAATTTCCTTTATCGGCGTCACACTTTGCACTTTTATTATAACTACATGAAAATTAATCATTAGTTTAATAAAAAAAAATAAATGAATTTGTTTTTTATTTTTGACATATCATGTCAATCAAACTAAATGTTTTTTATTTTATTTTATTTTTTAATCAAAAACAAGCTTTTATAAAATCGTTACATACAGAAATTGTAATTACAATCTACCTATACAAATAAATTCAAATCCACAAATTTCCTGCCTTAAAATTCAAAGTTATATTACACACTATACACTAAAAAATATACCTAACCAATGCTCGGTTTTCGTATGAAAAATAGTGTACATAACCCGTATTTAATATAAGTGCGAAATATATCACTTTCCGCACTAGTTGTGTAATATACTATTATGTTATAGAAGTAAACTTAAATGTTATAAATTCACGATTTAGATACCACAGCACTGAAAGTTTCGGTGTAGAATATCGGTGTAGGTGTGCTTGAAGGTTGGGAGCCCTCGAAGATCACGTAATTGGAGATATCCTTCTGGTTATTATTTATTCTTGTGGTACACATTTCTATAGTAACTCATTTCTTATCACAAACGAATCTAACAGTCCTATTTATGCATCTATTTATTACTTATTCAGTCTTTTTGGTAATGTGGACACAAATGTGTACTTTCTAAATTTAAAATGTTCATTCTTCGGGGCCTTCTTCTAAAAGCACACATTCGCAAGCACTAGGGTAATTCACGGTACGTGATACAAATTCCTTTGACGTTGTATTGAAAGTAAGAAGATTTATTGTGGTTTTCTTTTGGACGCATTTCGTCGTAACATCATTAGGAAGATTTTCTATATCACAAGGAGCGTCATTATTTCTGCAAAAAAATTTCTTATTAATATAATATTCTTCGATTACTAAATTACATTATCACAAATATTTCCTGTCTGTAGTGACGTACTGTCAGACAAGGGTAAGAAAGAAAATAATTGATAAATTATTTTAACACATTTATATAAACTGAAATATTAAGATAACTGAACTTTGTTGTCGCTGTAGAATAGACATTTTTTCTAAATTTGTTGGTACTCATATAATAAATTAAAAGGTAGGTATTTTAAGTTATTTTTATAGTATTGTTAATATAAGGTACACCCCATCGGTATTAAGATTATTTGCTTTTCAAATTTGTTTGTTGTTTAGTTGATTTACAATACAGATTAAATATATTAGACAAAAAAATAGAGGATAGAAACGCTTATGAAGCTTATTACCTTAATCTTTTAGTTGAAATAAAAAAAATTCTTACAAAACAAAAGAAATATTCAAAATTCAAATAATGTAACAATGTCTGAATCAAACAATTAGACGTCAACGTACCGATTTTTTATAGAAATCCTTTGGATTATCAAAATTTCATAGATTTATTTAATGCTCTCATAATAGACAACTTAAAAATTTCACACAAATTGGAAGGATGTGTGTCAATTCAACGATTATTCCCTAAAAACTTCTTTAAGGCAAGGTAAATAAAACTTTTTAAGGTTATGTTGTTTATTTACATATAATAAAGTTTAACGACTGTAATTTGTTTTATATTTTGTTTCAGTGTCTAAGATCATTTTAAGACTACCTCAAAATGTTAATCTATTTGGTACTCAACTGTAAATAAGCAAAAAAAATTTGTGTTTCCCACAAAACCGCTGAAAGGAAAAATTTGATTATTCTGATAAGATAATTACTTGACATCATTATGTAAATGGAAATGTAAACTAAACGTTGGATAAAGATAAGAAAACAAATGGTTTTTCACTTTAAAAGTGTGAATTGGAAAAACTTTACCTAAGAAATGGTATGTACATTTATTAGTCATGTTACCCCCCTAGCTTAGATTGTGTGTTGCGTACAAACCTGAAATCTTTTATTTTAATGACATTTTTTTAATGCCATGTTTGTATAATTTAATCTGCCACTGCCCTTAAATAAATTAAACAATGTAAATTTAAAGTCATTTGTGCAAAATTATTGCAAATTCGATATGCTAATGAATCTACACTAAGAAAAAAGCATGTCGATTTTATATATAAAGACACAATGGTGTGAATATAAAATATTATATCTCATAACAACTTAAAAAATTATGAGCACCTTATCCACGTAACGTGTGTGGCTCACGGTATTAATAGAGTTGCAAAATATATTACATCTCAGTTTCCAATCGTTAATAATTTGATAAGTAACATTAAAAATATTTTCTTAAATCTCCATTAAGAATCCAATTTTATAAAGAAAATCTTCCAGATATTCCGTACCGTCAAAACCAAAATTCAGATATACAAATCTAGAAATCAATCAAAAATCATAAAACATTATATCAATTAAAACTTTGCATCTGTATCTAATTATGTACATCAAAATGAACCTAGATTTTTATATCAACACAATCAAAAGTATCAATCCAACAAGTTTAATCAACATGTAAATCAAAACGAAATTCAACCAAATCCAAAGCAAATTCCAACTTATGTTCAGACTATTAGTAATCAGGTTATTGACGCCTTACCAGAAGTTCAAAATGCGACACCGCTTTCAGCCATTTTATCTATCATCAATTATACGAAAACATTCCGTTAAATCAAGCAAAAAAAGTACCTTTAGAACTTATAAATGAATTTAATCATAATAAATATTTTGTACCTTATACATCTCAAATTAATTCAAGTCTTGATTTAAGTTTTAAAGAAAGGCAATTTAAAATTTTGGATACTTTAAACTTATTTATAAACCTCTTATAGGTACTCATTAATTTGATAATAATACATCTATTGGTACTTCAACTAATTTCATTTGATACTATCATATTAATGTCGCACGTGTGATCTGATAATTGGCCGATTGACTCATACATTATTGTTTATTTTTTGAAAATTAAAGACTTCGTGATCCTACAATCATTTAACTCGCATTCCCTTGTTGACAACAATTTTTTTTAGGTTCTGCCACAACTAATGAGAGATTTAGTTACTTAATTGTGTAATGCCAAACTATTAACTGTATTTAAAATTTAATCATAAAGTAGTAAGCAAAGAGAATTTATAAACGTTATATTATTATGATTGTTCTGTTTTTCCCCAATAATTAATTTTATCTAATTAAAATATGAATCATCTAATCCATATTACATATAGATGATTCAGTCCTGTTTTTTCCATATATTTAAATTTTCAAATGTAATAATTCACAATTTGTATAATTTTTTAATTTATAATAAGAATTAAGTTCACTTCATCTAATATAAAATAAGATAAAAATATTAGTTTAAAACTTAAGAGTACCCAGCGTCAGAAAAAAAAAATCGTTCATTGTATGGTTATATATTATAATATGGTCTAAAGATTGTTTTATTTTTTTAGTTTTGACACTTTAAAAAAAGAATAATATATTACATAAAGCTTGTAAAATTTGTTAAATAAAAAATTATTTTGGATTTGGCTTCACAAGCAACTAATTTTTGGATCGAGACTTGGTAAAATATTTTTTCCAAGTGTCAAAATTATCTACTTTGCAAAACTAGTGACACAATTTAATAACAAATTATTCAAGTTACGTAGGCAAATACAGCTGACATTTAAACATATTATATTATTCTTAGCTTGTACTTTTGATCTTTTATGTTTATTTCCAAATTTTATTAGGTAGATTTTGCCTAACTTTTTTTGTATGTATTATATTTAATAAAAATTGTTTTAAAACCCCTGAATCAATTTTAAAAGTCTCATTTGTCATGACAATAAAATAGATAATAAACCAATAAATTATTTCTCATCGACTGACATTCTAAATCCGCTATTCACTCATATAAGTTTTTTTCTTAATTCAATAGTTCTTTTTGTTAAAACACTAATGGCAAATAGTGATGCTAAATCATAATAATAATTGATGATATAACATAACAGTACTTTCATTGTTAAATAACATTTACATTGAAATAATTAAATGTTAATAAAATACACAATTACCTACCCAACCCATAAAGTGTTAAATTAAAATCTGTATTTTATTATTACTAGTAGGTACCTATAATATTTTGCGAAACTATTATAACATTGTTGTTTTTAATAAAAATTTGATTTAAAATTTAATTTAATTTCTATTCATAATTATTTTAACACAGGAAGAATAACATACCTCTTTTTACTTTCCTATCTGTGTACAGATATAAGGAAAGTATAGGAATCATGATTTTTTTCGACCTCGAGTTTTCGACGGATTTTTACGTTCTGAGGTCCCCTGAATCCGTTTTGACTATTTTCGCGATGATGTCTGTGTGTGTGTGTGTGTCTGTCTGTGTGTCGCATAACTCATGAACCGATACACAGAAAAACACCAAATTTAAACTTAAGCTTTGTTCCAGCGTCCAATGAGCTGGTTAGATTTTAGGCAGAGTCGGAACATCTGGGGTGGTACTTTATAGGTGGTCATTTTTATATTTTATGAAATATATCTATTATTTACGTTTGGGGAAGAAAATTCTCTAAATAAAAGTTACTTCCTATATTATTATCTATAATTTTTGTTCTATACAAAATTTTCCTAAAATGGACCGTATTCGAGATATTTGAGAAAATGTGTAAATTTCGAAATTTGAACAAAACTCAAAAACGGATAAAGAAAAAAACATTAAAATTTAAACTTAAGTTTTATTTCGGCCTGACGTGAAATGATTAGATTTTGGACAAAGTCGGAACATCTGGGGGGTACTTTATGGGAGGCCGTTTTTATATTTTATGGAATATATATGTTATTAATGTTTGGAGAAAAAAATTGTTCAAATAAAAGTTACTTCTAATATTATTATCTATAATTTTTGTTTTATGTAAAAATTTCCTGAAATGGTCCGTATTCGAGAAATTTGACAAAATGTGCAAAATTCTGATTTTTATGAAAATTGTTGAGCTAAAAGTTGTTTGCGATATCGATTTCTATAATTTTTGTTTATACATGATTTTTCTAAAATGGACCGTAATGGAAAAATTGTAGGAAAAGTGCTAAATTTAAATTTTTTAGTATTTTCGTTTTCAATGAATATCTATAGAAAAATGTTTCGAGGTAGATGTATATGGAAAATGTATATATTTAGTTTATCCTCTAAACATTTATAGAGGTGCTGCAATAGGTTGTATAAAATAACCGGAAAAAGCCTGTAATAACTAGATAGGAAAGTCATGTGTTGGACACATCAGATTTTTGTAGTAGGGTATCTACCATTTGCATTATTTTAAGTAACGTTTAAAATATGGAGAGAATTTAACCATCGGTGTCTTATTTTAACTGATAAACTGGTTAAATAGATTGCACGTAGAAATGTTGTTGCTTTTGGAAAAACAATTTACAACCATTCAATACACTGATTTGTTGAAAATGTATCACTTATAAATTAAACCAGGTTTCCAAAGAAATCATGATCGAGTCCAAACTGCTCCTGATATTTTACCGTATCACAAGCTTGCACTTAGGTTGAGAGTTAATTTGCGTATTGAAATTCGTTGTAATTTGAAAACAAATCTCAATAATCCTTCTACGAATTATCAGGACTATCCCCGGACCCCAAAGATGAATATATATATATATATATATATATATATATATATATATATATAAGGAATCTTGGGATTTTCAGCAAAAATTTTACAATTGTGTACTCTTTTAAGTATTTATTAAAGGGTTTCGAACATGATTATGTTCATCTTCAGGGAGCTACAATATTAATTTTTACAGAGGTTATAAGAAACAATTTTGAAAAGACATATACTTACAACTCAGTGAGAATCGTTGCGTACATGTGGTGTTATATTAATAAAAAATTACGGTACATCACAAAACGAGACAAAAATGGTTGATAACAATCCTGTTAGCCAAAAAGTTTATATTTTTAATTTTACGTTAGGGCACATGGTCAAATTTTTAAAATAATTAATAAAATTCACATCTAACACCGTTCGGTACTAGAAACGAAAATGAAACTTTTTTATGTTACTATTTGAACTATTTTTAGCGTGGGTACAAAAGGTCAGTTGTCATATGTCTGTCAACCGTCAGTCAAACAGTAGGAAAAAGAAGAAACCGTCAATGGCCTATGTCACCTAAGCCCTAACAGTTCAACATCTCTGATACTGCCAAACTGATAGTTGAGAGTCATATGATGAAATAAATTATTTAAATATTATATTTTATATATTAAATGTCAGAAATCATTGCAAGAAGGTATTACGGATAAAATTATGATTTGTATTTCAAGATGTCACTAATCCTATAAGCGACGTCACCCTCTGAGTGAACCATCCCAACGCACTAGGCTAAAAGGTTGTCATCCCCCTTGCCCGGGTTGGAACGGAGCACTCACCTGACGATATCGCGAACAGGGCCAGTGCATTTAGTTTTAATGCAAATTTGTAAAATTGGAAAAAACCAACTATGAAATAACAATTGACATTTTGAACAATGTTAAGTATTGGGAAAAATACTCAAAAGGTACTGAGAAAAACGGATGAAATTTTGATTTGATAACAAACATGTCACAAGCCTGTTGGTGGTGTCACCAGCTGAGCAGGAACCAAAACACTCAAAAAGAGTTAAAGTCCCTCCTCAACTATTCTGTCACCACCCACAGGACCAGTGCATTTGGAGATGACTAAAAAATGAAATTTTAACATTGGGGCCTATACATCAGAAATTCCTGACATGTCTCCACTAACAACACCGTGTTTGTCAACATGTAACAGATATGAGAATATTTAACTAAGGTGTTTGATATCTGTTCTTTTATTAATGCAGTTTTCATTTTGATAGATATGTGCCATTTCTAGAAACTGTCTTTTAGAGATATTCGTTTCTCTTTCTAGCACAGAAACACTATCATAATTCATTATATGGTCATTTTTGCTGACATGTTCTGCCAAAGCACATCTTTCAGGGTGTAATCTACAGTCACTACGGTGGGAGGTCTTGCAATGATTTCTGACATTTAATATATAAAATATAATATTTAAATAATTTATTTCATCATATGACTCTCAACTATCAGTTTGGCAGTATCAGAGATGTTGAACTGTTAGGGCTTAGGTGACATAGGCCATTGACAGTTTCTTCATTTTCCTACTGTTTGACTGACGGTTGACAGACATATGACAACTGACCTGTTGTACCCACGCTAAAAATAGTTCAAATAGTAACATAAAAAAGTTTCATTTTCGTTTCTAGTACCGAACGGTGTTAGATGTGAATTTTATTAATTATTTTAAAAAATTTGACCATGTGCCCTAACGTAAAATTAAAAATATAAACTTTTTGGCTAACAGGATTGTTATCAACCATTTTTTGTCTCGTTTTGTGATGTACCGTAATTTTTTATTAATATAACACCACATGTACGCAACGATTCTCACTGAGTTGTAAGTATATGTCTTTTCAAAATTGTTTAACTTATAACCTCTGTAAAAATTAATATTGTAGCTCCCTGAAGATGAACATAATCATGTTCGAAAGCTTGGAATAAATACTTAAAAGAGTACACAATTGTAAGATTTTTGCTGAAAATCCCAAGATTCCTCAGTTTATTTTCTAACTAGTCGGCAAAGACTAAGCCATTTTTGGCTTTTATAGATATATATATATATATATATATATATATATATATATATATATTTGAAAAAAACTCATCGCCAGGAGTCGAATCCAGACTTTCACGTTGGATGAACGTGCATCCTTACCGTTAGACTATCAACGACATTGACTTTTTAGATTCCTAAACAGATATTTGAAGTGTAAGTTCTAGCCAAACGATATGAGAAATGCATTCCTCATATATACTGATAAGGTATTTGTAGATTTAAGAAAGAACCTGAACTTTGGCTAGAACTAGTATTTCAAATTTCCCTTTAGGAATCTCGATAGTTAATATTAATGTTGATAATCTAACGGTAAGAATCCACGTCTGGAAAACATGGAAGCCTGGGTTCGACTCCTGGTGATGACAGGTTTTTTTTCAGATCTACAAGTATTTGTTTTCACGTTTGAGGCCCGGGGAGGATCTTGATAATTCGTAGGGGAATTATTGAGATTTGAATTGTATTACCCATTGATAATATCTTATGATTAGATTTTAATGAGTAAAATAGCCCTTATTTTGTTAAATACTAAAAACAATATACACCTACTTGCAAGTTTCTAAATAAATCGTTGGTCTCGGATATTTAGTAGTATTAATCACATATTCTTTTTTCCTAATATCATCAAGGATACTCATAACTTGAAATCTGTTACTGATTTTAGTTTCACATAATTTGCATAAACTTCTGGCTTCACTTTCGTGTCTTGGAACGTTAGATCTAGAAACTGGCGCTCCTAACGTATTCAAAAATTCTTCTGGTTTGATTTTCCAGTTATCTTGAATATCTTGATATGGATAACTAGAATCTTGATAACATATATTTCCTATGCAACCATCGACGTCGTCAAATACTTGCATCGCCTTAAAAGAAACAATATTAAATATAATATACTTTTTATTGAAAATGAGTTTAAAATTGTTTTACTTTATTACGAGGATAGTTCAGTAAGTTCTAACAAAGTCTCAGTAATATCCAATAGATGGTTTAAATTTTGTTGATTGAAGCAAGAAACTTTTGTTTATTTAGAAAAATGGAAAAAGGTTTAACACCGAAAGAGATCAAAGTTGAATTGGAATAATTGGATGAATTTTATAACACATCTTATATTGTATTTGCAACTATTTATTGGGTCAATGACTACCCGTCCAATAGAAGTCACTATACTAAATAAATCTTTAAAAACAATACTTCTGGATGGCCTTCTTTAGCGTTTTTAATTTTTATATTTTTTTTATTTAATGATGTGGAATTGTACTTTTTAGTGATAGTAAACTTGGTATAATGTGGATTATGTTAAGAAATATAAAATATTGGAATATTTACTATTTAATAACATTTTTTTACTAATAAACAAAATCGTATTTTACTTATGATATAAACTGGTTTAATAATAGCATTTTCAAATAGAATATTATATTTCTTTAAATTAACATTAACAACAAATGAAATTTCTTGATTATCGGAAAACCATATAATTATCAGTTTTTATTAGTGGTTATTAACTAAAAAAATAGAACTAATTTATATATAAATGTATCTTAAATTATTACTAATAAAGATAGAAGAGAATTTAAAAAATTATTTTTCTCCGATTGACATTAAATGTCACTTTTAGTGATATTTCTCGATCATAGAAGTAACTACTTCGGTTATTAGCCTCGTGTTCTGTGTAGGCTTTTACATGACTGGGGATACAACAAGAATGCACACGCACAAGATACACAAACAGACGGCATAACAGGAGTAAGCCTTCAGCAACGTCCTGCTTAAATGATGATAGTATGTCATCCTTCATTCCCTTTTAGAAGGCATGACATTAAACTGATTAAAACTTCCTTTATTAAAATGATTATTTATATGATAAAAAATTTGATGTTTATGGAAGCTTTTATATTTTTTTATATACAGTGAAACATTAGTTTTTGTTTCTCCTGTAAATTTGTATAGAAAAACTATTTATTTCTGAATCCATGTTTGAATTTCCCGCCCTAAAGTATTTTTAATTTTCCCGCTATTTACTAGTGGCGCCATCATAGACTGGTTGTGGTTACAATCGCCCAAACAACTATAACCGAACAAAAAAAATACATTGAGTTACACGTCTCGCTGGGTTGTCTCTGATCATGGTTTTGAAGTTGAAGCTCGTGTTCTCTCGTTTATAGTCTATTTTTATGTATGAGAGAGTAATCAGCATTTCTAATTCAAAACTTAGTACGGTCATTTTAAATATTTTTACAGAATAATCTAAATATTTCCTAAAATTGTAATAAATGTACCTGAGCTATTACAAGTTTTGGGTCTTTTATTGGTCCTTTATAAACATAAGCTGTACAGAACAATAGAAAAAGGTTTGGACAGGCCAAAAGCCCTGTGTATTAAAGATTACATAGCCGCATCTTAAGATTATTTTCAATAAGTACCTATTTGCCAATTTTGTTTTATTTTAATTCCAAGAATTTCTTACAGTAATCGAATACATTCCCAACAAATTTCACCGAAAATGCGATTATAGGTTTTCCATTTAGTAAGGAGGTCCAAAATGTGTATTCTTGACAGTTTACTAAATGTCGTTTAGTTGCAACTTGCAAGGTGCAGTGTGAATTCTAGTGTGATCATGGAAAATTTGAAAGGGCCGCGTAAACGACAAAAAATCGGTCTTTTAACAGTTAATGAAAAAACATTAATATTTAATTGTTTTAAATCATTTATAAACAAACATTTATGTAAAAGTGTTGATGACAGAGTGGAATTAGTTAGTAGTACGCTTGGTGTTGGGAAATCTACGATTTACAAAGTTGTTAAAGAAGAGAAATGTGGCGAGTTTCAAACAGCACGTCAAGCTCCAGGAAAACCAAAATTTCAATTAGAAAATCTTTTGAAAGAAAGACTTCGAAGGAAAGTACATGCGTTCTTCTTTAGAAAAGAATTTCCGACAGTAGACAAAGTTCTTGCCACGGTTCGAGATGATAAGGATTACCCTGAAATGAGTCGAAGCCCACTATGGAAACTTTTAAAAGAAATAGGTTTTCTATGGAAAAAGCATTCCAGAAAGTCTATTTTAATAGAAAGAAGCGATATTGTAGTATGGAGAAGAAATTACCTAAGGACTATAAAAGAAATGAGAAACCAAAGAAGAAATATATTTTATTTAGATGAAACATGGATCAACGAGGGACATAAACCAAATAAATTTTGGCAAGATGAAACTGTTACAATTCGAAGACAGGCTTTATTAAATAATTTATCTACTCGTTTAAATCCACCATCAGGAAAGGGGCGCAGACTAATAATAGTACACATCGGTAGTTCAAACGGTTTTGTTAAAGGTGGTTTATTGACTTTTGAATCTACTCATACCGGTGACTACCATGAGTGGTTCGAACAAATTATAGATCTTCTTCCTCAGAACTGTATAATAGTAATGGATAACGCAAGTTATCACTTGAGACTTATAGAAAAAATGCCCACAACCAAGTGAATAAAAAAAGATTTACAGAATTGGTTAAATTCATAGAATATTAAGTTCCATCCCGGTTCTGTGAGAAAAGAACTGTATCATTTGTGTTCCCTTCATAAAGAGAAATTCAAAAAATATGAAATTGATGAAATTGCAAAAAATCGTGGGATAACGGTGGTTAGATCACCACCATATCATTGCGAAGTAAACCCGATTGAACTGATATGGGCACAGATAAAGGGAGAAGTTTCAAGAAAAAATAATTCTTTTAAAAAGAGTGATGTTAAACAGTTGTTTTTGGAGGCTGTAAATAATGTGAAGCCTGAAAACTGGGAAAAGGCAGTAAATCATACGATTAAAGAAGAAGAGAAAATGTGGAAGTTGGACAATATTACTGATGAAATGGTCGAGCCACTCATTGTAAATATTGGTTGCGACAGTTCATCTTCTGATTTCGATTCTGATTTGGATTTGTAGGTAAGAAGTAGTTTTTATATTAAAATTATTATTTATGAACGTAACGTTGTTTAAAAGTCAAAGTTTAAACCCTTATACCTACATAACCCGTTTGACACAATGTTCTTAACATACCTTGTGGAAAAATAAAACATTTTAAAAAAACTTGCACTCTTTTACCTTCAGCTGTTTAGAAGTTATAAGAAGGTTAATTAGGTGAAAATATAAGTGTATACTTCAGGAATAACTTCTAAAAATATTTTAACTGTCTACTAAAAGAAGTGTTACGCCTATCGATTACGAACGCTTTATTATTTTAATACTCTCTCATACATAAAAATAGACTAAAGTACCGGCCAACTTTTATAAAACGGGTGGAAGCGCAATTTGAGAACGGTAATTTGAGAGAGTAAGGGAATGTGTGATTAGATATGTTCTATGATTAGTTATTCTATGATTAGTTGTTCTATGATTACTTCTTCTATGATTAGCTGTTCTATGATTAGTTTTATGTAGAACAACTAATCATAGAGCAACTAATCATAGAACAAGATAGTAGAGAAGGGGTGGGTGGCTCAGTGGTAGAGTCTTTGCCTGTGGATCCAAGGATCCCAGGTTCTAATCCCACCGTTGGCCGCGATTTTTTTAATTAATTTAATTATATAAAATTAATTCTGATGTCTTGGTAGGATTCCCCACTCGACCATTCACTGTTGGGTTCTAATTAACAGTGCTGTTCCTCAAGTGGCGCTGGGAAACAGTAATACGAGGCTAATGACCTTAGTAGTCGATGCCGATGACACCAAATTAAAAAAAAAAAAAAAGATAGTGGAATGAAAAAATTTAAAAAATAGATGAAATTAAGAAGTGGTACAAAGATAGCAAATATAAAACAGATAAGTCACTTAAAATATTATCAGAGTCAGGTAGAAGTTCGGGAAGTTCGGGAAAAAGAGAAGACTAGGGTATGTAAAAATAAAATGAATGTGATGAACATGTTTCAAATATTAATAAGGAAAATGAAACAAAATAAACGAGAAATGGGAAATAAGTTAAATTAAATGGGAATGCAAAGAAGTTAAATGAAATTGGAAAAAATAAACAAGGAATTGGAAATTTACAATAATATTGAAGATGAAACAAATGAAAATAAAAATGTAGAAATAAATGATAAAGAAATAGGTGTACAAGAAAAAGATGTAAAGATAAAAATGGTAATTAAAGAAAAGGAGGACCGGAAGAATATTTTTATTAATTCAAAATTTATTGTTTGTGTTACTATTTTGAAATTTTTATAGGAAGCCACAATCCTAAGTACTCACTCTAGGATATTGCAACAGTAAAATAGTTTACCCTCTCTGAGGTCTATCCATAACAATATTTAGCAGTTAAATCCAGAAGACAAATCCAAATTTAGTGATCGAATTGAATTCATTAAAAGTAAGCAGAAAAATAAATATTATACCAAAAAATATAAAACATGAGTATCTAAAAAAATACAAGCTTCGTCAATGTCAATAAATATTAATAATTAGAGACTTTTTTACTTTTTTTTAAATATAAAATTCACTTTTATAAAAAATAAAATAAAGCAATAAAAAAGAAAAATTCGTTTGTTTTATGATCATCAACGTTTAAAGTTACAAAAAGTTTGTGATTCCATTTCACATATCTCCCCTACCGATCAAGAATAGTTACTTACTTAGCAAACTGTTTGGTAGGGGGTGAAAAAGTATGTTGAATAATTAAACAAACATATTTTGTCCATTTCTTGAACATAACAAATATTACCTAACTTTGAAGTTAGTTAAGTTGACCGTGTTTTTTTGATCTAATTCCTAAAATTGCATGAGACTGACATTGATAAAAAAATATCAATTTAATAAATGTTATAAAGAAATACTCACCGCTTCTCTAAATAAGATAGTTATTGTTAGCACAAGTGGAACTACCACTTTCACTATCGCACTCATAATGATGATTGCACTAACTACTCTTTGTTAATGTCTTTGAATGAATGTCTCGAATACAAAGGTACACAGACTTATGAATGGATTGTTATATCACGTATATGGGACGGTCCCCTAATTCATCGTAAAACCACAATTTTTTATTACTTGAATTCATATTGTATAACATTTTATTATTTTATACTAAAATAACCCATCCTACAACCGTGGTTCTCAGTTAAAACTGAATTTAAATTCAAACAACTGTGTGAGCATAACGAACAGGTTGGGATTTCCCCAGTCTTTATTTAAAATTCATGTCAACGGCAATTATGGAAAAACAATAACAATAATACATCTTGACTGCCGCTTAAAATTAACTAGTAAATCTATATATGGAATTTAATAGTAATAGTATAAATATGGTATAATCCACAATTCTAGATACGTAATAATAAAAATGAAACCTGATAATTTGTTAAAACTACGTTTACACGAGAAGATAACAACTGATTTTAACACATACCTTTTCTTCTCTATTGTCTACGCTCCCTTGCTATCCTCTTATCTGACTGCCAAAAGTGGCAGGTCTTAGTTTTTGCTTGTTATTTATAGTTGGGTACATCTATTATACACTGCGCTCCCTTCTTCAGATAATAAGTAACCGAAGTACTCATTTAGGAGATAGTTGTGCACCATAGTTCAAAGCCAAAACTTTTTTATTTCATCTTATCCAGTAAATCAACTTACCTTGTACATATTTGCTTCCGGTAAATGGAACATTACAGTATCAGATACTGTAATGTGTTGCCTAGCAACCTTGTTTTGGTTTTAGAAACGATTGACTTATCTTTCGATTTTTGACAAATTGTCACTTATATGTATAAAAATATAAGAAATAAAATATTCAAATATACATAAAGAAAATATAAACAGTCATAGCCGACTATAAAAATGCGACCGCGTTCGGATAAGGTATTTTATTAGAAAATTGTCCACAGATTATAGGTAGCATTTCTTGTAGTAAATTATACTCTTCAACCAACTTTAGTAAACGAAGAATATTTTGTAACTATAAAAGATGCTTTTAGTTACATTTTTAAAAATATTTTGCTTAACTAAAATTAGTAATTTTTGTTTTGTTTGGACTCATATCTGTTGATACCTATTAACACTATTTAGGTAGTTCTTGTTGTAAATGTTTTTCTACTAACTTTAGTAAATAAAGAATGCTTTATAACTATAAAAGAGGCTTTTAATTACATTTTTTTAAATAATTTGCTTGACTAAAATTAGTAATTTTTATTCAGTTTGGACCATATCTGTTGATTCCTATTAATACTATTTAGGTAGTTCTTGTTGTAAAATATGTTTATCTACTAACTTTAGTAAACGAAGAATATTTTGTAACTAGAAAAGATGCTTTTAATTACATTTTTAAAAATATTTTGCTTAACTAAAATTAGTAATTTTTGTTTTGTTTGGACTCATATCTGTTGATACCTATTAACACTATTTAGGTAGTTCTTGTTGTAAATGTTTTTCTACTAACTTTAGTAAATAAAGAATGCTTTATAACTATAAAAGGGGCTTTTAATTACATTTTTTTAAATAATTTGCTTAACTAAAATTAGTAATTTTAATTCAGTTTGGACCATATCTGTTGATGCATATTAAAACTATTTAGATAGTTCTTGTTGAAAATGTCTTTCTACTAACTTTATTAAACAAAAACAATTTTTTCAATATTTTTCTTAACCAAAATTAGTATTTATTATATTATTTTATTAACAAGTCAGCAATTATATTTATTACTAAACACTAAACACAATACCATTTTAATTAAGTACCTACAATATGAAAGTAGTAAGTAATAAATTATTAAAAATAAGTAATTAACAAAATCTTTACACTAATTTTTTATTTATATGGCAAAGTTCAATTTATTTGATAAAATTCACCGTTATAGTACAAATTGTATTATTAACAATATTGATTCCTGATGTGGATGGAACATTATCATTAGAAACAATAGTATTTATCTCTGTATTCTTATTTTGTTGCAATACTTGTACAAAATTCTCACCACCTTGAATCATTCTTGCAATTTTCTTTTTTCCTTCAAGTGCATCTTCAACATATTTTTCTGCTATAGCAGAACTTTTCCAACCCCCATGCCGTTTTAAGATAGATGAATCTACACCTGCATTTGCAAGAAGAGTTACAGAGGTCCGTCTGAAACAGTGACCTGTAAACTTTTCAGGATTTGGAAGTTTCAAATATTCTGCTATTTTTCTGGGCATTGCACCTATAGTATGAATTCCTACTCTTTGTTTACCATTTCGATACCCAAGAAATAAAAAGTTTTCTTCAAAATGTTTAGGTCTTAGGGCAAGATATTTCCGGTATATTTCCAGAAAATTTATTACAGTAAAAACACGTTTTACATTAGTTTTAGTTTGCAAAATCATGATTACCAATTGAGTTTCTGTGTCTTGAATGTCATTGAGAGTCATAGAATACAATTCTTCCCGCCGACAACCTCCAGCAATTCCAATCATAGCAATAACTTTGACCAACAAATAGACTTCATCAGATGCTTTATTGAGAAATAAATTTACTTCATCTCTCGTCAATACCTTTGACTGCATCGGTTGATATCCAACACTACATTTTTTTTAAGAAAGCGATGATTTTCGGGTACTTGCTGATGTTCACGTTCTCTTTAACTAGTAACATTGCATTTAGCATAGAATATTTTGCCCACAAGGAATTGATATTTATTCTCTTTGACTATAAAATAAAATAAAATTAATACATATTGATCCAATAAAAATTATTTTAAAAAAATCATGCAGATCATACTTACTTCATCTAGAAAATAAGCCAAAAGAACATCTTCCTGTATAGTAATAATAATAATAATAATAATAATAATAATAATTTCTCATTTAAAATCTTTTGTTATTGATGGTAGTTCATTCAATTCCCAGTTTCTGGACGGAATCAATATAGGTTGATCATTTTTGATGGGTTCCATTAGCCTAATTTTAATTTCATCATTAGGAAAGATATGTTTAATTTTTACTTTCATACTTTCAATAATCAATTTAACAGTTTTAAAGGTCACATCACCTTCGGCTACGGGCTGCTCCGTCACAATGACGTAGTCATTATCGTCCGATTCAAACGGGAAAAACGCTTAGGCCGTTCTGGCTATGGGATTTAACATGGGGCATGTGGAATGAAAAACATATCAAATATAAAAAAAATTAAGTGTTCATAAAATATGGCTCTAGAAAAAAATTATACAAACCGATAAAACAGCATACATCTCGGTTATAAATAAACGAATGACATATTAAATATGGTATATTTAGAACCACCTCAGCGACCTCTTATTTCCGTTTACTAACGAAACAACCTCTATTTGTAATAAAAAAAAATATTTTCTTACAATATATTTTTAAGATTAGTTCAATTTTACGGTTAAAATGGAAATCATCTTTATGTAGCGGTTCTTAGGAATCCGGTAAGTAAACTGAATTATGCAATGCTCCTTTGAAAAAAGAGTTACTGACGGCACAGCAGGTGGCAGTATAAGAGCATTTTTGCCGAAATATAATTTATCGTCTTTTACTTTGTACGCTATAAATCATAATTTTTTGTTACATACCTATAACATGTATGGAGTGATTCGTAGTGTTCTTATTTCTCAGCTGAAGAACCACTTTTCAAACAAGAATAGAAAAAAGGGCAATCAATCTTCAATAAACTGTTTGTTTCTAACGACAATGATAAGCTATTTCAGCATAAATCAAAGAAAATAAATATAAAAAAAAAACCTTTGGATGTTTTGTTAATGCTATAAATTCGTTGTTAAGAAACAACTATGTGTTTTCTAACGTAGCTATGGAAAGCCAGATATTGTATTGTGTTAAAGATGCCATTTTTAAATGTATTTTTCGCGACTTTCAAGAAGATTTAAAATAGAAAACAAATAAATAAATAGGTGATTTTTGAGTAAGAAAAAAATATAATTTGGAATTTACATCAGTCTAAACGTTAAACTTTTTTGTTAGTGTCATTTTAATTAAAAAAAATTAAAGACACGTTAATTTTACAAAAAAAAAAACCGTATGCAATCACAGTAGTTAATGTGATAAATACCAACCATTTTTTTAGATGTTTGCTGAAACAATTATCATAAAAAAACGAATAAATGTTTAAAAATTATTGACAACTGATTCCATTAATCAATGTTTTTCTATTTGTCACATTCATTTGAATTTAAAATTACGAGATATAAATTTTGTAAATGTCCTTCATGTGTAATATATTAATTTTGTCACAGTGTTACTAATTGGCCTTACATATTTATGTTTTGATCCAAGTTTTTTTTTTTAATATCAGAAACAAATATCTGTACATAGTTCTGTTTAGACTGACAGCTCTGACATTTGACTAAATATTAATTTTTTTTAAGAATATATTTCTAATGTTATATAGAGGACAAGCTAGAGAACAGACAATACGTATTTGGCAAGAAAGGTGGGAAACAGACGCAATAAAAGCTCAGTGGACGAAAAGACAGATGCTGACGGAGCACGGATCTTTCCGATCCCTTGCAAAGAGAATAGCAAAAGACGACTCAGATAGTTGTATATATTGCTCGAGTGAAGAACACACTAGAACACACCATTTTTGTATGTGAGAGATGAAGTGAAATAAGAAGACGAGCATATGATAATATTGGGTGCGAACTAACACCTAAAACAATAATCAATAAAACGGTTAGCTCGGAAGAAAAATGGAAAACAAATCATAAAACTTATGAGCCAAAAAGAAAGAGACGAAATAGCAAGACAAGGAAGAACAAGAGAAAACCTATAAAGAAACGGAGCAAAGAAATGAACAGGGAACCACCTAAACCCTTCCCAACGGGTCGGATGATGTACCTACAAGAAAGTAACACCACAGCTTATACAATACAGCTAAAACACTCTCTTGGCGGCAACGGTTTGCGTCAATTTCGTCGCGCATCGCTTAAGCTCCGCCTTCGAAGGGAAAAGACGGTACTTAGGCAAGGTGTTGAGTCGTGCGTATAATTTCGTTGATTGTATAATTTCGTGGAGCCTATAATTTCGTTGATTTTGTTTGAGTTAAAGGTACTGTTATTATTTTGGTGACTCTTTAGCTGTGAGTAGAATGAGTTTGTGCAGTCAAAAGCTGTTTTAATAAGGGT